CAGTTAATTATGCCATCATGGAAAATCAACTTCTATTAAAAGAGATAAAAGCTAATAGTAAATAAAGCCCAAATTATGAGGTATAAAGGCAGAATGAGGGAGTTCATATTCATGCAAGATTCTACATTTGGATAAAGGAAGGTCAATTATTTCAAGCTAATAAGGAAATCATGCTCTCAGAAGCCCTGAGACTGTAGCAGTGTTTAGATCTATACTTTAATATTTAATTTCATATATTTCCTGAAGGAAACTGATTAATAATTGCAACCAGTGAAGCATGTACTTTAAAAGACTGACCTCTGCAAGCTGTTGTTTTTTGAAGATGAAAATAGTGCCTTTTTCCTTACAAAACAAGTCACTGGTGTGAGATCTTCCTAACTTCACTGAGCTGAAAATAAATTGAGGCAAAATATGAAAGATAACTAATTAGCCACATGCTTTGCAGTTTTGTTTTGTTTTTTTCTGAGGCAACAACAAAGTGGTCTGGCACACATTTGGATAATTTGAGTTGATCTTAATAAAATATTAATTTGAAATTATTATGCTTTTCAAAATTCCCTTCTCTTTCAACTAATTTACTTAAACCCTCAATATATCATCAAATCTCAATGTCTAGCTAATATACATTTATCAAAGAAGAATCGAGATCATAAACCCAACATCGAATGCCATGTCTACTGTGGCAGTCCCTCATCATACTCAGGTGTGTCCAGTCAGGAGCTCCAGTTTGGGAAATGTTTGGGAAACGAGCAGCTACAGGTTACCCACAGAAAGTATAGCCCTTTGAGGACAATGAATAACTGAAATCTGATGAAGTAGAGATGTTTCAGGAGAAATACAAATGCATTGTTTAATTCAGTTCTGTCTTTTGTCTGCCATACAATCCTGGGCCTCATTACAGACTTCTTCCCTTTTCAATCTTTAAATTCTTCATGGAAATCAATAACTCCAAACCAAGAGATTTGGAATATAGTCAAATTTCCTATAAACATATTAATATTATTAATAAAACAAAATGACAAAGAGAAATTAGAAAACTGGATGCTAATGAAAATTGAAATATTGTGTAGAGAGCTTATATACATGAGGGAAGACTAAATTTATAAATTTTATTAACAAAAATGCTGTCAAATGTTCTTAAACTTACAATCAGATTTCCACTAGCAGAGAAAATTAACTTTCAGAATAAAAAAGATAATTGGTCATTTCCAAGTTTACTAAGAATCACTTTAAACAGATTTTAAAAATTTAAGCCAAGGATACATAATTGGTTTCATTCAATGTAGTAATTTGGCTTTCATACAGAAAAAAAAAAAAAATTAGACTGTCAAGAAATAACCTGAAACCCAAGAAACTTACACTAAAAATAAAAACTCTCTACCCTATTTTTAACTAGCAATTAGAAGTTTCACTGCTAACAATAAAAATTGTCTCTGGTTATGCAAGAGGAATCTGAAAAGCAAAATATAATTATTAAACATTAAGGAATCCTCAGCCTTTACATTCTGGAAATTTCTTTCCCTGGAGCTGGTGAGCGGAAATAGCCAAAGCTGAAAGGCTTTGGGGCAAATGAACCTTGACATGGCACTATAATCTGAGACCAGTCACAGTGGAAGATGAGCAGTGCATTCAGACATCTAGATGTGACATTCCTGGTGATGGCTTGCCTGACTGAGCTATTATCAAATAAAACAACTATCCCAGACCTTTTACACTCTGGCAACAAAGACCCTAGAGGAACTTAAGCCATTAGAGCCGGTATTTGTCAAGATTTATATAGCCCTTGCCTGGTCACCTTGATAGGACAATAATATAGAAATATTTAGCTTTTAACACTGTGTCCTCATTGCTACTTTTTCCTTTTGAAAATGTTTATGAAATTAATTGATAACAGTTTTCTGAAACTAACTGAAACTGCAAGCTGAGTCTCTGGGTTTTCTTCTGCGAACCAAACCTATAGCTAGTTAGTAATTAAAATGACATTACTAAAATTTTGCAAGGAAACCTCTCCCCCAACTATTTAAGTAAGTTTAACCATGAAAAACATGGAAGTTCTCATTGGGAGGAAGGCCTGTTTCAATCATTTCTGAGTTGTTTTTTTTTAAAGTTATGCATGTCTTATGTAAAACTGAACCCTATATTATGTTATTAACCAATATCATCCCAATAAATTAAAAAAAGAAAAAGAAAAATCTTGTTTATTTTATCCATATTTCCTTTTTTGTATACTTTTTCTGTTGTTTATATAAATTTATTGATTCATGCAAATACTTAGATTCCTATGTCATTGAGAAGTAATTGAATAAATCTCAAAAGCATCAGTCTCCAAAGTCACGTGTACTCACCCAAAAATAAAAAAATAAATAAATAATAAAATTATGCATGTCCTAACATTTCCCATATAGGCAATTCCTCCTCAACACCTACTTTAGAGCAATTATTAAAACTTCAGGATGGTAGTGGTGAGATATTGCAATGATGAAAATATCATAAGAGAAAAAAAAACATCAGTCTCAAAATTATCTGTCAGCTCTACCCCACAGAAGTTCCTATATAGACCCTCTTTGTCTTTTTTCAAAGGAAACAGAAGAGCAGCCATTATATTCAGCCAGAACGGAATAAGAGAACCCCTGCTGCCTTTATTCTTTTGGTTCACTTTGCTTGACACCACAAAAAATAAACTTGGCAGCATGGCATCAGGCACACTTGGGTTTGAATCCTAAATTCTGTTATTTATGACTGACCTAAAAATATCCCTTTACTCCTATGAATCTTGGATTTCTCACCTGCAGCAACCATGTGGTAACCACCTCGCAGATTTGCTAAGCTGGTATGAGGCAATGAATTATAAACATATGCTTGGTATATAACATGCATTCAGTAACTGTTGACTACACTGTCTTAGAAATTGTAATAATGCCTTGCAGTTATATACCAGATTTTGAATTCTTAAGGTGCTTTCAAACATACTATCTAACTTCTTAGAAGGAAAAAAGACGGGGAGGAAGGCAGAGATCGATGAGGTTAAAAACTATAGTCTCACAATTTAATTTAATAGATGAGAAAACATGACCAAAATGTTGGTTGCTACCCAACATCACAGAGTCATGACAATTACTCTATTTGGGGAATAATTTGGCCCAATATGTTCTTTTAACAAATGAATAAACAAAAATTTAAAGGACTTCAAATGAGAACCAAACTGGTTTGCTTTTTTCTAGGACAGCTGTCTTCTAACTACTCCACATTGTTTTCATACAAGCAGGGTTCCAGCTGGGAGCAAGAGCAGCCCCATAGAGTGGAGTTATTCCACTGAAAGCTTGGGAAAGAAATATTTACCTATTCTGTGGTAGTACAGAGTTTTTCTCAAAATACCAAACCCTGATTGCTTTCCACATCCACACAAAGATTGTATTACAGGCTCTAAGAGTTGAAAAAGTGACTTTATAAAGAAAAAACAACAAAACAAAACACACAGACACGATTTTACAAAATGGTAATAATTTGTTAGGTCAATGTGGTACTCGAAACCTCTTACAACCACATCAAAATTGTGATAAGCTACAAAACAACAACGATACCTAGCTCAATATGAGTCCTATAACTAAGGATATAAGGAAGCCACATAGATACTGGTAGAAGGGGCAGAAACACAGATGGGCTGGTCTCACACTGCCGTGAATTTCCCCCTGAAAGAGTATGGGGGACCTAGTCCCACATCAGAACCCTTGGCCCAGGGTTAGTGCTGGAAAGAGAAGTCTGCACAACTTCTGGCTGTAAAAACCAGCAGGGTTTGTGGCTGAATGGGACAGAGGTTTCTGGAGCCCCAGCCATTCCTATAAAATGGCTGCATGTGGAATTACTTAGACTCACTCATTCTGAGCTCCAGCATTGGGGCAGCAGCTTGAAAGGCACCAGGGACATGGAGGAACTGAATTGTTCGCCATCAGGGTGAGAACTGGAGAGGCAGCTTTCTACAGGACATAAGTGCTGGCAGATGTCACTCTTCCTTTGCTGAGTCCTCCCCTCACAGAGGAGGCGGGCAATGCCATATCTGAGTACCCATCAATCTGGCTATCACTGTTGGCGCTGTGCTGGTGATTCCCTGAACCCTTCCCCACCTAACTTGCAGACCTACCCAAGCCCTAACCAGCAGCATTTCCATACAAATGACCTTTTTTGTCTCATGCTGTGGACTTTCCTAAAATCTCTTGGATAAGCAGCATCTGGCCTTTCACTGCTTGCTAATTGACCCCAGGCCTGGCACTAGAGGAAGCAAGACTATGTTCACAGCTTGGCTTCTCCTGGGCACCTGCAAGCCCAGCACAAGTAGTAGCCATCTTCATATCACTCTGTAGCTCACGCCAGGTGGCCCTCCCTGGTCAGGGCACAGCTGGTGGCCTCCTGGGAGGCCCCACGGCCAGTGCACCCAGTGGAAAGCTTCAGACCATACCAAATTATAACTCAACCACCTCCACGAGTGACATATTCAAGGGGTGGACCTGGTAGGCACCAAAGCCCCACTAAAGGAAGTTCTACTCTGTGTGGTTGGCCGCTGCACAGTGACTCTTCCACTGCAGTTGCCCCTGGTCTTCACAGCTAATCAGCCTGGGGTGTCAATCCTTTCCAGTGATGCCAAAGCAATCGAGGCTCAACTACAACAGGTACATACAGTCCATACAGGAGCTCACCTGGAGTGCCCAGCTTGGCTGACTGGGGAGACTGTGCCACAGGGCCCTACAGGACACCTACTACATAAGGCCACTCTACCAAGTCTGGGAGACACAGCAGTACCACCTACTAGATAGAAAAAAAAAAAAAAACAACAGGGAAGTAGCCAAAATTAGGAGACAGGTCCCAAATGAAAGTATAGGAGAAATCTCCAGAAAAAGAAATAGAATGAAAGTAAGCAAACTACCAGATACAAGGTTCAAAACAATGGTTATAAGGATGCTCAAAGAACTTGCTGAGAACTTCAGCAGCATAAAAAAGGAAATGCAGCTCTCACTTTGGTAGCACATACACTAAAATGGGAAGAATACAAAGAAGAGTAGCATGGCCCTTGCCCAAGGATGACACACAAATTGGTGAAGTGTTCCATATTTTTACACATCTCCAAAGAGGATATACAGGTGGCCCAGAGACATATGGGAAAATACTCAGTGTCGCTAATCATCCGAGAGATGCAAATTAAAACTACAATGAGGTATCACCTCACACCTGCCAGAATGACTACCATCAATAAATCTATAACAAGTGCTGGCGAGGATGTGAAGAAAAGGGAACCCTCATGCCTTGGTGGTGGGAATGTGGACTGTTGCAGCCATTGTGGAAAATAGTATGTAGTTTCCTCAAAAAAATTAAAAAAGGAACTGCCTTTAAACCCAGTGATCCTACTTCTAGAAATATAGCCTAAGAATCCTGAAACACCAATTGGAAAGAATATATGCACCCCTATGTTCATAGCAGCATTATTTATAAGAGCCAAGATCTGGAAACAGCCCAAGTGCCCATCTGTAGATAAAAAATGATGTGGTACATTTACACAATGGAATACTACACAGTTGTAATAAAGAAGGAATTCTTACCCTTTGTGACAGCATGGATGGACCTGGAGATTATTAGGCTAAGAAGAATAAGCCAGTCACAGAAAGACAAATACATATGATCTCACTCATATGTGGCATCTAATGAACAAAATAAACTGATGAACAAGATAGGACCAGCGGCAGGAGATGCATGGAACAGACTGACAGATCTCAGGGAGAGAGGAGAAGGGGGAGCCTGAAAGAAATTAGCCAAAGCATTTTTATACATATAGGCATTGCACATGAACACAGACAACAATGTGGAGAAGGCCAGGGGGGCTAGGTGGAGGGAGATAAGAAGGGGGAAATGGGAGACATTTGCAATAGTGTCAACTATTAAAAATGACTTGAAAACCATAAAAAATCAGAAATAACCATAAAAATAATCAGAACTGAAGGATATACTAAATGAAGAATATATTAGAGGGAATCAAGAGAGGAGTTGATGAAGCTGAGAATCAAACCAGTCATTTGGATTATAAGGAAGCAGAGAACACCCAATCAGAAAAGCAAAAGAAAAAAGAATACAAAAATAATGAGGATAGTATAAAGAGCCTCTGGGATAGCTTTAAGCACAGCGACATTAGCATCATGGGGGTGCCAGAAAGAGAAGAGAGGGAGTAAAATATTGAAAACCCATTTGAAAGTATAATAACAGAAAACTTCCCAAACCCAGTGAAGAAAACAGAATAGAAGCCCAGGAAATGAAGAGAGTCTACACAAGATGAACTCAAAGAGGCCCACACCAAGACACATCATAACTAAAATTTTAAAGGTTAAAAATAGAGAAGAAGCAAGAGAAAAGAAGTTGTTTACCTACAAGGGAACTGCCATAAGACTGTCAGCTGATTTCTCAATAGAAACTTTGCAGGCCTGAATAGATTGGCATGAAATAATTCAAAATGATGAAAAACAAAAACCTACTCTACCCAGCAGAGCTATCATTTAAAATTGAAGGACACATAAGAGCTTTCCACACAAGAATAAGCTAGAGTTCATCACAACTGAACCAGTATTACAAGAAATGTTAAAGGGTCTTCTTTAAGAAGAAAAAGAAAAATAAGATAAAAAAATAAGTAAAATGACATTAAATACAAATCTATGAAGAATTAGTTTAAATGAAAATGATTAAATGCTCCAATAAAAACATATATGGTGACTGAATAGTTAGCAAAACAAGACCTTTACATATGTGGTCTATAAGAGACTCACTTCACATCAAAAACACCCACACACTGAAATTAAAATCATGGAAAAGATATTTCATGAAAATGGAAACAAAACAAAACAACAAAAGCTGATTTAGAAGTCAACACTTATATCAGACAAAATAGACTTTAAAACAAGGCTATATGAAAAGAAAAAGAAGGACCCAGCAAATCCACTTTTGGGTATTTATCTGAAGAAACCCAAAACACTAAATCTAAAAGACATATACATCATCTATATATTTATTGCCTCATTATTTACATTAGCTAACATATGGAACCAAACTGAGTATCTATCAGTTGATGAATGGATAGAAAAAACAAGCGGTGCATATATACAATGGAATGTTATTCAGCCAAAAAAGAAATGAAATCTTTCCATTGTCAACAACATGGTGGGACACAGAGGATATTATGCTAAGCGATATCAATGAGACAAAGAGAGACAAATGCTATGTAATTTCACTGATATGTGGAATCTAAAATAAATAAATAAATGAAAAGGCAGAACAGAAATAGACTCATAGATACAGAAAATATTTTGATGGTTGTCAGATGGAACAGGGGTCAGGGGATTGGTGAAAAAAAGTGAAGGGATTAAGAAGTACAAATTAGTAGCTACAGAATAGTCACAGAGTTGTAAAGTATAGGGAATATATTCAGTAATATTAAAATAACTATAAGGGTGTCAGATGGGTATTAGATTTATCATGGTGATCACTTCATAAGTTATATAAATGTCTAATCATGGGGCTGTACACCTGAAAGTAATATAATATTGTATATTGACTGTAATTGAAAAGTTAAAAAAAGTACAAAAACTAGTCTAAAATAAGGCTAGATGACCAACACAGAACTTAACCCACATGACATTTTTACACTTACTTAAGTTTTAAACACATTTAAAAAATAATATCTGCTTTACTGGTACACTAATCATACACTCAGTTGGCCAAGTGGATAATCTAGCTCTCCCCACACATTTGTCTTCACTTGCTGCACACCCTGACTGCACAGTGGGAAACTGAGCTAATTAATTCTTTTTCTTTCCTTAGTGCCACTATTTGTTCCAGTTATACTTTCTGCTTCTGATTCCAAAAAAATAAGGATTCCTAACTTTCCAATCCTGGGCCATTTCCAGATTAATAAACTTGCTGCCTCACTGAAAGAGGATTTCAAAAGATAATATCTTGAAGGCATAAAGTTATCTATGGTGCATAGAAATCCTGTGTCTCACTGTAGTTATTACATTGTAAATTCTCAGTAGCAGGAAGGCACGTAATCTCTTGGAATTGGAAGTCTGGATTCAGTGCAGAAAAATTACATGAGAAAGGAATATAAAATTTAGTTAGGTGGAGTTACATTTAACACCTCACATCCCCTCGTTTGCCTCCCTCAAAAATAGTAATTCTAAATAAAAATATCTTGGATTCAGCCTTAGGCCCAACACCTTGCTTTTAAATACAACTCCAGGATTTCTTATCTTTCTGTGGGGCTGTGTGATTCACCACAATGTTTTTTGCTAACTGAAATCATCTCTACTTTAATTCACAGTTGTCTAAAATTGCTTATGAGAAAGGACACAGTTGTCAAACCCATGCAATCCTTCTTATAGATCACCTTCTTTTGCAATTTGAACATTTTAAGTGAATATTGGAATAATAATTTTAAATTTCTATTACACAGTTTCATTTTTTCTTATTTAAATTATTACAAAGTTCTACATTCTTTCAATTATATTTATAAGTCATTTTTAACACATACATGATTTTTTTAGATAGAGGGAAAGGGAGGGAAAACAAGGAAGAGAAACACCAATGTGAGAGAGAAACATCCATCAGTTGCCTCTTGTATGCACACCTATAGGGTACTGAACCCACAATTCAGTCATCAAACCAGAAACCTTTTGCTTTGCGGGACAACACCCAACCAGCTGTGCCACAACAGTCAGGGGAACAAATGCATGGTTCTTTACCTAAAGATCTGTTTTTCATACTTCCAGAATTTTTCATTAATATTATTCATGAAGTTCTATATAGAATATGTGTATCCTGTTTCAAAAATCTCATTTATCTTTTCTTATATATGCATTTTCCAATTCATTCTTTTCAATAGCCTTAACCACACACATCAAAAAGTATTAAGCACAAATGAAGGTCAGCATTTTTCTCTGAATTAATTCCCTACAGTGACGCACCTCTGCCTTTACCTTTATCAGGAGAAGGTAGTATTGTTTAGGGCAATGACTAAAACCTTGACTGCAATAAATGCAAACACATATCTTCATCTTCTGTCCTCTCTGAGCAGAAATTGAAAAGAGGAAAAGGAGATCTAGCTAATACACTGATCATTGTCCTGTGTTTTGACTGGCCTTTTAACCTACTTAGCCCCTTAGGTCCTGACCCAGTATGAAAACTGCTGAATTGCTACTGTCTTATATAATGACCAGTCTGGATGACTTTACCTATCCTTGCACTCTGGTTGCCCACATCTAGAAATGATCCCTTGGCTTGGGACACATCTCAAAGGCAGGCTTTGTGAATGAGTACTCCTGAATACCTGCCTGCCTGCCTTCTTCCCTCTCTCCCTCCCTTCCTATCTCAAAGCAAAATACTAATTTAAAGTAACAGCTGTGAACTTTAAATTAGCTTTGTCATAACATCACCATCTTGTTATATCTTTAAATAGCTCTTTTTATACCTTTGTCAACAATATCAGTTGTGTATTCCAATATATTTTTGTGTCATTTATAACTAAGCTATTTTGCTGCTTACAAACTTTGTCCTCCTCCTGGCATAATCTCAGTTTATCCAATCCACAAGGTGTGCCTCCTAGTCTGTGGATAGTTTTGCTTTGAAAGTGGAACTACTACACTTCTCACTGCTCTTCTCCAGAGAAACGTGGGTATTAAAAATGCCTCCACTTACTAAACAAGTCTTTCTTCTGGAGAACACAGAACAGTTATTGATGGCACATAAGACAAGGGTAAGGTCCCCCAGGGAGAGGGGGAAACTTGGCAAAACAAAATACCAAGCTGATGCTGAATGTATAAACTAGATATATTTTGGGTGAATTAGCAACTGAGAAAGTAAAACAAGTCCCAGTAGATGAAATATAACATCTAAGGTTAATTCATTCAACAAATATTTACTGAGTAGCTACTATGTACCAGGCATTATTAAAGGTCATGCAGAAACTTGAAGGAGGTGATACAGTTTACCAATCAGGTATCTGGGAAAAAGTGATCCAGGCAAAGGGAACAGTGAGTGGGGAGGACCCTTACATACTCCGGAAATAAGAAAAGCAGTAAG